GGGTCCCAGGCTCAGAAGTAGGGGCTCCCAGGAGGCCAGATTGGGGGTCTCTGGTGGGGGGGTCCCAGGCTGGGGGTATGCCTCTGACCCCCCCCGCCCCCCCGCTTTCCCCCCATTTTCTCCCAGGTGCATGGCAAGGAGCTGTCGGGACCAGGGTTGGAGGTGCTGCGAGGGGCCAAGGAACCACTGGTGATCCAGGTGCTGAGGCGAAGCCCACGGGAGACTCGGGGGCGGCCAGGTTCTGGGCTGCCTCCCCCGACCCCTCCAGTCCTGGCTCTGCCCCCCACAGCACCCCTGCCTCTGCCCCCTGGTCCCGGCCTTGTGGACAGCGGGACCCAGACAGACATCAGCTTTGAGCGGCTGCTGGCACGGGGCTGGCGCCCACCCCCTGACATGTGAGTCAGACCTTCCATAGCCCTACGGTGCACCTCACTCCCGATCTGCAGACCCGTATATGGGTGCCCCTCCTTCCTGACCTGTCTCCTCCACAGTGATGCCCCTCACTCCTAACCTGCAGCCCCCCATACCTGGACACCTGGGTGCTTCCCATCCCTTGCTCCTGACTTCTGTGCTTTGGCCTTCCAGCACCTCCCTTGGGCATGAGTACTACGACCCTGTGGAGTTAATGGAAGGCGTGGTCCTGGAGACAGAGCGCACAGAGGAGCTGGAATATGAGGTAGGGGGCCAGACACCTGGGCTCTCTGGGTAGAGGAGAGGTGTGGGGTGGACTGGGGCTCATGGTCTGTTACCGCACGGACGACGAGGATGACGTGGGCATCTATGTGGGAGAGGTGGGGGCGGGGCCAGGTCTAAGGGGCAGGGGCCTGATTTTGGGAGGCGGGACACTGTGGTTGGGGTGTGTGGGCGGAACGGGAAGTGTAAGAAGTTGGGGTGTTGCCCCAGGCTTGGGGCAGGGTTTAGTCACAGTAGGTGAGGCCTGGGACGGTGGGGTGGGGTTGGCAATGGGGTGTGGCATTAGTTTGAGGGCATAGCCTGGAGGGGGCGGGGGGAAACTGTGGGTGGGATTGGGTGGAGGTGGGGCCAGGGCACTGGGGTAGCGGCTTTGGAGTCCCCTTAACCTTTTGCCCTCGCTCCAGGTGAATCCCAATAGCATCGCAGCCAGGGATGGACGTATCCGTGAAGGGGATCGCATTGTCCAGGTGATGGGGGCGGGGCCTGGCCATGGGACAGCCCAGGGGTGGAGCAGCGCAGCAGAGGCAGGGCATCAGGGTTCTATTGGTCTTTGGGGAGTGTGCTGTGAGGGCGGGGCCTGTCTGTTGGGGACTAGCCTATGGGGAAAGTCCATGGGGTGGGTGAGGCCTAGCTGCTAGGGGCAGGGCTTGACTTCTGGGAGTCCTAGGGGCAAGGTGGTGCTGTGGCTCTGACTGGGGTGGGGCTTGCCTTCAGGGGTGCTGTGCCTGGCCCCAGGGTTGGACTGTTGGGGCCTACTGTGGCATGGCCCAGCTCCTAGTGGAAGGGCTAGGGTGGAGGATGTCTCCCAGGCCTGACTCCCCCACTCCTTCCCCACTGTGGCTCCTGCAGATCAATGGGGTGGAGGTCCATGACCGGGAGGAGGCTGTGGCCATCCTGACCCACGAGCAGCGAACCAACATTTCCCTGCTGCTGGCACGGCCTGAGGCTGAGGTAAGAGCCTCCTAGGATTGTCTGCTGGGGCTGAGACCCCCTGGAGAGGGAGCTGGGGAGAGGGTAGGGAAGGGAATTGAGGGTTAGGGCAACTGGGGAAAGGGAGAAGGGTTTTGGGGGGGCCCTTGGGGGACAAGGGAGGGGTGGGAGAAGGGTTTTGGTGGCTCTCAGGTGACTGGGGGGCATGGAGGGTATGGTTTCAGGGGCTCCTGGGGTGGGCAAGGTAGGAGGTATGGGGATGGGGGAAGGGATTAGGAGGTCCTGGGGTGGCTCCAGGGCAAGGGAGGGGGTAGGGGACAAGAACTGTGGCGCCTTTGAATGGCTGGGGGGCATGGGGAAAGTATTTAGGGGTATCCTGACATGGCTGGGGCTCTGAGGCAATTGGAGACCCCAAGGAGAGCTGGGGGACAGGGGCAGGAATAGGGGTAGGGTTTGGGGGGGGGGGGGCAAGAGAGGAGAGGGAACAAATGATGGGCAAATGGGTTAAGGGATTGGAGCGGGCTGTGGGGGGGGGAAGGGATTGGGGTAGTGGAGGGCTGAGGAAAATGTGCTAGGGGATTGGGAAGCCCTGGTGGGGGGGGCGACAGCAAAGTGGGGCCCCACTGGGGAGGGGCTGGCTCTTAACTCTCCACCCCAGCTGTCAAAGCACTGGAAGGACAGTGACCGCGAAGATTTCCTTGATGACTTTGGCTCTAACCCCGAGGATGAGGCACGACCCCGACCCCCCCGTGCTGCCCCAGGCCAGGTGAGATGAGGGGGGGCCCATCAGGGGTGGGGCTGGGAGCCTACATGCCTAGGTTCTCTTTCCTAACACCCCCCATATCTGCTGTGGGTTGGAGCTGGGGGTTGTGGACAGCTGAGTTCCCCCTCACAATCCCCTCTCGGGTGTAGGTGCCTGGGCCCCAGCCACACCCTGGGTTATCTTCTGCTCCCCAGCCATGGTACTGTAGCGGGGGGCCTAGACACCTGGGTCTTCTCCCCACCAGCCTCCTTCTCTCCCTCCCCCACAGCCCCAAATGGCCACCCCCGCCCTGCCACTGCCCCCCCCTGCAGCCCCTCCGGCCTTGGGGGAGCCGGACAGTGGGGTTGGCCGCACAGATGAGAGCACCCGCAACGAGGAGAGTTCGGAGCATGACTTGCTAGGTGATGAGCCCCCCAGCGGCACTGGCACCCCAGCCCTGCAGCGCCGTGGTGAGCCCCTCCCAGATGCTGTGGTCCCTCCACCTAGCCCCCCAGCCACCCCAGGCCTCACCCCGGAGGAGGCTGAAAGATATCGGGAGCTTCTGGAGCTACGGGGGCACCTCCAGAATGGCAACCAGGGTCCCCCCCTTTACCGGGGGGTGCCAGGGGGCCTGGATGTCAACCGCAATGAAGTAGCTTTGCTGGAGGAGGAGCTGCGGCACCTGGAATTCAAGTGCCGCAACATTCTCCGTGCCCAAAAGATGCAGCAGTTGCGGGAGCGGTGCCTCAAGGCCTGGCTGTTGGAAGATGGGGGGCCAGGGGGCTATGAAGTCTCCCTAGGCGGACCCACCCATGCCTTGGCTGATATCACGGAGCTCCCTGAAAGCGCCTATAACACGGGTGAGAGCTGCCGCAGCACCCCTCAGCTCGAGAGCCCACTCCGCCAGCCCCCCATGGGCAACCTCAACCGGCCTCCGGGTCCCCCGAAAACTCGGCGCCCTAGTGAGGCCCGTCCAACCAAGCGCAGCCCCCGGGAAGCTTCACCCAGTCGTCTAGGCCGCAAGGACAACATGGCTGTTGTTGCTTCAGCACCGCCAGGCCTAGTGCCTCTGTGTGCCAGCGAAGCCTTGCCAGGAGTAGGCCGGGGTGGGGAATGGCGGGGCAAAGGTGCCAAGAGGCCTGTGAGAGACCGGCTTCTCAAGGCACGGGCCTTGAAGATCAGGGAGGAAAGAAGCGGGATGACAACCGATGACGATGCCATGAGTGAGCTGAAGTTGGGCCGCTACTGGAGCCGAGAAGAACGCAAGCAGCACCTGGCCCGAGCCCGGGAGCAGCGCCGGCGCCGTGAGCTGATGCTCCAGAGCAGGCTGGAAGCAGCAGGGGCATCCCCCGAGACCTCAGCCGTGGCCCTGGGCCACCGCAAGACGCTGAGGAAGCGGAGCCGCCGCATCCTAGACAACTGGCTGACCATCCAGGAGATGCTGGCCCATGGCAGCCGTGGGGCCGACGGCAGGCGGCTCTACAACCCCCTGCTCTCTGTCACTACTGTCTGAGGGGGAGTTCCACCCCCCCCGCCTCCACCTCCCACAAGGCCTGTTGCCCTGGCAAGGCTGGCCCCGCTGAGCTTGGGGCTGTGGGAGGCTTTGCCAGGCTTAGTCAGCCACAAGGACAAAATGGCCACCATTGCTTTTGCAGTACTGACCTTCGGTCCAAGTCTAGGGCCAAGGGTGGCTTTGCCAAGAAGAGTAGGCCACAGGGGGACGTGGCTGCTGTTGCCCTGGCGATACCCACCCCAGCCAAGCAAGGGCCTGGGAGGCTTTGCTGGGCCGAGCAAGCTGTGCGGGCAATGTGGCCGCTATTGGTCTGGCACTTTCTGCCCTAGCCTGGTGTGGGGAAGCTTCACTAGGTTCAGTAGGCCACAGGGACAATATAGCCACTGTCACCCTTCCCTGCTGGGGCTGGAGAGGTTTTGCCAAGAAAAGTAGGCAGCAGGGGCAAAGTGACCAAGACTGTGCCTGGGGAGGCTTTGTAGCCACTGTCACCCTGGTGCTGCCTGGCCTGGGCCCTGTAGAGGTGTTACCAGGCCAAGCAGACCACACGGACACCATGGCTACCAGTACCCCAGACTTTCAGGTGGAACAAGCGCCTGAAAAAACCCAGATGTCTGGGTTCCTTTTCTCCCAAGACCATGTACAGGGATGCACCCCCCCCCCCCCCCTATGGAAAAGCCTGGAAATGAATTGGGGGGGGGGGGGGGGGGGGGGGGGGACTAGCTGAAAGTGGGAACCCCCCAAGGGGAGGAGGTGTGCCACAGAACTGGGGCCTGGCTTTAGGAGGGGGTTGAACAAATGGAAGAGCCTGTATGGAGATGCTGGAAAAAGGGGTCCCCATGAGCAGAACCCTGACATCCATCCAGTGGGGATACCCCTCCCTCCAAGAAGCCAGGACCCCCTGCTTGCAGCTGCCCCCAGCCTATGGACAATGGTGGGAGGGCTAGGATTACCTGCCGCTCCCCCCCCCAGCACAAGGACAGGGGGGAGGGGGGGGAATCTCCCCTGCGGGGCTCGCTTGTGTCTGTGATTGTGGGTGTTTGCGGTTTGCCATCTGTATCTCTTGGGGAAGAGGAGTGACCCAGGTGCCTAAGGCCTCCCTACCTCCTTCCCTGACCCCAACCTCCCCCTTCCCTCAGTGGCCAGGGGCCCCAGGTGCCTAGAACCTTCCCCTCCCCCAGAGCACAGAGAACCTAGGCATTCAGGTTCCCCCGATGCTCATCCCTATCAGATGCCCCCCTCCCCCACAGCCAATGCCTAGGGAACCTAGGGCACACCCTGCTCCCTCCCAAGTTCCCTGTAGCCCATGCCAGCAAGGAAGTCCGGTGTCCTTGCCTCACCCACCTTCCATGCTCCCCACCTTTCCAACACTGAGATTGAACCTAGGTACCCTAGCTCTCAGCCCTTGCCCCTCTTCTTCTCCCCCAACCCTGGAGGGAACCCAGGCATCTTGGCTCCCCCTGCATACCTCTTCAATGCCCAATGGACCCAGACGCCCGCGGTCCCCGCCTCCCCCCGTAGCTCCCCTCCAATGCCCCGAGGAACCCAGGCGTCTTTGCTCCCCGCCCCACCCCCCCAACCGGAAGGGAACCCAGGCGTCCAGGTCCCCCGCGCCCCTCCTCTTGCCTTGTCTCTTCACCCCACGCCCGCCCTCAGTAGGGGGTTCCTTGGTTGTACAGCGCGGTGCGGGTGGGGGCGGGGGAGGTCCTCCCGGACGCCTGGGTCCCGGGGGCGCCGTGAGAATAAAGCGCCGGGTGGTTTTTACTCGTTTCAAGTCGTCGCCTCCGGGTTGTTGCTTTCTGGAGGGGGGGTCACCCCCAGAGCCCCCCATCCTCTACCGCTTCCACCCCAGAACCAGCGGCATTGGAGGGGGGGAAAACCACCTCGGGGCGGGGCTTGGGGGTTAGGCCCACCCACCCAGCCTGGGAGCCTGGCGACTGTGTTTGACTTCGGGCCACCCGGAGCCAGGTAGTGAGGAGCTCCACCCCAGAGCCCGCATTGGAGAGGGAGCAGGAAACAACCCGGAGTCAGGCTTGGGGTCAAGCCCCTGCCCCAGAAGAGCCCGGACGCCTGCGCTCTTTAATCAATCCAATCAAGATGAAGAAACCAGGAAATGACAGTAATGGTAACTGCGGGGTGGAGGCGGCTGTTCCGGCGGTGCCCCCCCCCCCACCCCAGCGTTTTGGGTTAGCTTGGCTCCGAGCCGCCCCCACTCCCCTCGCAGAGAACCCAGACGTCCACCCTCAACCCCACCCCCATCTGAGGACACTACTTCAAAGAAGCTAGCAGCACTACACCAGAGACATCGCCTTCTTTGCTCTCATTGGTCCTCGTGACTGTCACTCCATGCCCTTCAGGGCTATGATTGGTGCTGAGGGTGAGTGGGCGGGAGAAACCATCACGGGGGGGGGCTCCTGCTCAGGATTGGCTCGGCAGACGATGCCGCCTCCTGTCTACTGATTGGCTTCTTGGAGCCCAAGCAAACGCCAATCGAGGGATTCTAGACTGTGATTGGCCGGGATTTGGTCCTGCCTCTTAAACCATGTGATTGGCTGCGTCCACCATGGGGGCGAGACTAAGGAGTCTATCATTTGATTGGGTAGAAGTAGGGATTAACTCTGCAGCCACGCTCGTGACTGGCTAATGCACAGGGTGTAGGCGAAACCAAACCCTCCATGTTGCCCAATAGGAAGCTGAGGCCATGGGCGGGCGGGGCTAGCCGGCACCGCTTGTTTGGCAGCCAGGCGGAGACGGGACTTCACCTTCCCTCCTGCTTCCCCATTGGCAGAGCTGGAAGCCAGAGGCTCCTGGCCTCTGATTGGCCTACGGGCCTGTCCAGCGGGGCCAAGTTGGTCTCCGATTTGCCTGGCTTGGCCCGAGGGGAGGGCAAGTGTGGCTTCCTGTGCCCTGCCCCTTTCCCCCGGCGGCCCCGCATGGAGCTGGACCTGGAGTGGCCGAGCAAGAGCCATGAACATCCGCAACGCGCGGGTGCGGGGGAGGGTTTGGGTGTCGGCGGGGGGGGGCGGTGAGGAGCCCGGACGCCTGGGTCTCTTGGGAGTTGGGGGGCGGGTGAGGGCCCGGATGCCTGGGTCCGCTGCCCTCTCACCTGCCCTCTCTACCCCCCGCAGCCCGAGGACTTGATGAACATGCAGCACTGCAACCTGCTGTGTCTGCCCGAGAACTACCAGATGAAGTACTACTTCTACCACGGCCTGTCTTGGCCACAGGTGCGCCCGGACTTCTCGGTTCCTTGGGAGGGTGGGGTCTGGCGGGGTGATAGTAGGGACTAGGAGCCCGGACTCCTGGGTTCTCGGGGAGGGGAGGGGGCTTGAAACCAGGATGCCTGGGTTCCTTCCCAGCTCAGGGAGGCTGGCCAAGGCAGTGGATAGGAGCCCAGGCTGGTTTGACAGGGCCCTCCCTGTCGCTCCAGCCACCACCCAGGAGATGCCCAAGGGTATTTCATACCTCATTAAAGGTATTAAATAAATGCCTCACCCCTTCCTCCCAGCTGGAACCCCGGCCCTCCCCCATTCCCCTGGCCCTATGAGGGGGGGGTGCTCTGGGTCCGGAGTGAGGGGCACAGAGAGGATTGGGGGGATCCCCTTGCCCCCTAATTTGTATCTGCTCCCCCAGCTGTCCTACATCGCTGAAGATGAGAATGGGAAGATCGTAGGCTATGTACTGGCCAAGATGTGAGTGGGGTCACGGGCTGCAGGTTGGGAGTGAGGGGCACTGCTGTGCCATATGCGGCAGGCTGCGGGTCAGAAGTAATGCTGAGGGACACCATGAGGCTACAGGAGGGCTGCAGGTTGGGAGTGAGGGGCACCAATATGGGGGTGGGGTTGCTGAGTGGGTCTATAGTTGGAGGTGGGGCTGTAGATTGGGAGTGAAGGGCACCATGAGGCTATCAGCAGGGCTGCAGGTCAGGAATGAGGGACATTGTGGGGCTGTAGAGGAGGCTACGGGTTGGGAGTGAGGGGCACTGCAGACCCCCACCATGGGACTGAGCTCCTTCATTTGCTCACCAGGGAGGAAGACCCTGATGATGTCCCCCACGGACACATCACTTCTCTGGTGAGTCCTACCTCCCTTCCCCACCCCGGGCACTTAGTTTGGTGGGGGGGCACATGGGAGTCTGGGGATTTTCTCCCATCCCCAAGGAGATGATGGAGGTTTGGGGAGGGGATCTGGAGCAGGTGAGGGAGGAGGGCAGATGCAAGTGGGGCTGGGAGCCCAGACTCCTAGGTTCTCTGGAGTCTGTTGGGTGGGAAGGAGCAGGAGAGTGCTGGGAGCCTGGATGATAGGGTTCTTTGGGAGAGGGTGGGACGTGAGAAGGGGTCTGGAACCCTGATGCCTGAGATCCCTAGTTTGCAGGTCTGGGGAGGCTGGAAGCCCAGACACCTGGGTTCTCTGGGAGTGGGTGGGGGTTTTGAATTGAGAACAGGGGGCTGAGAACCAAGATGCCTAGTTTCTCTGGGAGGGGAGTGGGGACTGGGGGGGTTAGGAGCCTGGATGCCCAGGTTCCCTAGTTCAGAGGTCTGGGAGGGGCTGGATTCCTCGATGCCTGGGTTCTCTGGGACAGGGGTGGGGACTGGGGGGTACCTGACCATCCTCTCCACCCCCAGGCAGTGAAACGCTCTCACCGGCGCCTAGGGCTGGCACAGAAGCTCATGGACCAGGCCTCTCGTGCCATGATTGAAAATTTCAATGCCAAGTACGTGTCTCTGCATGTCCGCAAGAGGTGAGTGACCCCTAGCCCCTGCCTGGAGTTCCCTGGGGTCCCTTGGGTCTAGTCCTGTATCCCCCCTACCCTGGTCCTGCCTTCCCCCAGCCATGTCCATAGGGCTGCAGGTGACCAAAGGGGCAGTGACTCCTGACTTTTAACCCTATAATGACTCTCATCCCCCACACAGTATAGTGGCGAGTAACTCCTGACTATTGAGCTCATGGTGATCTTGATCTTACACACATGCATACGTGAGCCTTGACCTTTGACCTCCTCACAGTGACATTGACCGTCCATGCATTCGCCACAAGGGTGTGAGCCCTGACCTCTGACCCCACAGTTACACTGACCACTACACCCCATAGTGATGAGTGGCCCCTGTCCTTTGACCCCATGGTGACCTTGAGCCCCCACACACACTGGGGAGGGGTTTTGACTTTTGATCCCATGGTGATCCTGCCTCCTTATACCATTATGCCAAGGGGTTGTGATCTTGACCACCTCATGGTGTCATGGTGGTGGCTGATCCCTGTTCCCCCTCTGTGGGTCACCACTCATTCTATGACCTCTGACCCCTGAACTCTGAAGCCACACCAACTATCTGAGTGGAGCGGGGGGTAACCTCATGACCCTGCCCTGTGACTTACGCTCTTCTAAACCTCTTCCTGCCTCACCAGGAGTGGGAGCTGCCCCGTCAGATATGCCCCCTGGGGAGAGGGCAAATACTGTGCCTTAGGGAGCCCTGGGGCAACACCCCCCACCACCTAATACCCCTCTTGTCTTGTAGCAACCGGGCAGCTCTGCACCTCTACTCCAACACCCTCAACTTCCAGTGAGTCCATGGGGGGTGATGGGATAATGGTGGCCCCTGGGGAATGATGTGATAGCAAAGGACTGGGGGTGACAGGCTTGTGGAGGATCCAGGGGGAGAGCCGGGGGGGTTAGTAGGGGTGAAGCCTGGGGGTGATGAGATAGTGGAGGACTGCCAGCGGGGACTGGCTACGGGCATTGGAGGGAGCTATGGGACTGTCTGTGGCAGTCAGGTCCTGGGCTCCCCCTTTAATATTTCCACCCCATTAATAAGAGGCCACCTGTAGGATCAGCGAGGTGGAGCCTAAGTACTATGCGGATGGGGAGGACGCCTATGCCATGAAGAGGGACCTCACACAGATGGCTGATGAGGTGGGGAGCTTCCCCCATAGCCCTATAGTACCCCTCACTCCTGGCCTGCAGCCTCATCACCCTTGTTTTGCCCTGTTACAGCTACGGCGCCAGCTGGAGCAGAAGGAGCGCTCTCCTCCAGCCCCCCCAAGCCCTGGAGACCCCAAGCCCCCAGCAGGTGGTGGGGGCCCCGAATGGGGACCTGTGGGGCCAGGGGCCCCTGAGGATAGTGGCGCCGACAGCAAGGACCTGAGCGAAGTGAGTGAGGCTACAGAGAGCACTGACATCAAGGACAGCTCTGAGGCTTCTGACTCAGCCTCCTAGGGCTCCCTGCTACCTCCCACCCCCCTTTGGACTTGAAGGGTGGGGGGAGAATAAAGTTGCCCCCATTCCCCCGCCCTGTGTGTGGCTCTTGATTTCTGGCCCCCTCCGCCTGGGGGCTGCTGCGTGTGTGGAGGCAGTTATAGGCAGTGGCATACAGGTGGTGAGGTTGGAGGAGCTTGAGGAAGTGAGGGTTGGGGGGGGCCTCTGAGCTCACTGGAGGGATTTGGGGTGAGGGTGGTTCTGGTGGGCAGGGGTGAGGTAGTGGGGGTAGTTGAGGGGTCTGAGGAGGTGGGTTCTGTGGACACAGTGAGGTAGTTGGGAGTAGTAATGAGGTGGGTATATGGTTGGGTGGCTACGAGGAGGGTGGGTGTTGGGGGCCTGGGGAGTTGTGAGGTGGTTGGGGGTTTGGGGTGGGAGTAAGGGGTACCCTAGGGGTAGGGGCAATTCCAGGCTTGTCAGTTGGGTATTGAGCAGGTGGGGCAGTTCCAGGATCCCTTTCCTCCGGGGTGTATTGCGGGTCTTATTCCGCGGGGGGAAGAGAGTTAATTTAACCCCCAGTGGCTCTGGGGGAGGCAGGAGCCTCCCTCTCCCATTGGCTCCCGGGCATTGAGCCCGGTACTCCTCCCCTTCCAGCATCGCCCCCTTACGCCGTGGTCTCAGCGTCCATCAGCTCCGCCCTTTCCTGTGTGCCGATTGGCCAACTTCTTCCCCCTCCACCGTCCCGATTGGTTCAACTCATCCCCACCTCAACGCGAAGAAAAGTGGGGGGGGGCTTGTGGAGGGCAGGGCCGCCATGGGAGACCGCGGGCTGCTTTCGAGGGCCGAGGCGCTGCGGCTCGAGCCGCCCACGTGGTGTCACGCGTGTCACGCCCTGCTCTACGCGCCCTGCTCCGGGCGCCTCTTCGGTCGAGTCCCGCTGCGCTTCGCCCTCCTGGTCAGCGGGGGACGGGGGCAATGGGAGGGGCTGAGAGCAAGGGGTACGGAGGGCGGCAGGCACGTGGGCTGGCTTTTGAGGGGCTGGGCGCAGATGTGGAAGAAGTGGTGGGTGCGTCGGGGGCTGGATATGGGGAAGGGAGGGGGAAGATTTTGGATGGCTGGGGGAATTGGTTGGGTACGGGGGCTGGTGACATTTGGGAGGCAGTTAGGGGCTGGACATGGTCTTTGGGAGGCAGATCTTGGGAGTGAGGGAGAGGGACATTTTTGGGGGACCTGGACTTGGGGGCGGGGACAGGTTTTGAGCGTGGCTACTAGAGGGGGCGGGGCCTGGGTACGGGACGCTGACGGGTGCGGCTGCTGGAGGAGCAGGGCCTGCTCGCCCTGCTTCGGGCGAATATACTCGGGGGGTGTGGCCTGGAGTTAAATGGGGATGTGGAGGGCGTGGTTTGGGGGCCATGGTGACTTGGCGATTGGGCTGCTGGAGTGGGTGTGGCCTCCTGGCCCAGTCTCTGGTTCAACCCCCAGATGCAGCTGCGCTTCGACGGCCGCCTGGGTTTCCCTGGAGGCTTTGTAGACCTCCGTGACGGATCGCTGGAGGCGGGGCTGCTGCGGGAGCTGCTGGAGGAGCTAGGCCCGGGAGCGACTGGGCTGGAGGTGGGGCCAGAGGAGCACGCGGGGGCACGGCCCGGCTCCTCCGACGAGCCCCGGCCTGGCCAGCGCCTCGTGGCCCATCTCTACGTCAAGCAGCTCCAGCCCGAGCAGCTGCGGGACATCGAGGAGGGGGCAGCGCGAGCCCCGGACCACGGCCTGGAGGTCGGCGGGCCTATGGGGGCCGGGGGCGTGGTCAGGGCCGTAAAAGGAGTAAGGTGCACGGGGTAGGGTCAGAAGGTGAGGCGGGGACAGAACCAAAAAGGGGGTGTGGTTAAGAGGTGTGGTGGTGGTGTTAAAAGGGGCGGTGGCGGACAGGGGGGGGCAGGGTGCGAGTGGCCAGAAGTAAAAGGGGGCTGGGGCTATTGGGGGTGTGGCCTGAGAATAGGGTGCTGGGACAAGGTGGTATTAGGGGTGGGATTAGGAGGGGGCGAGGTCAGGGGAGCTAAAGGGGCAGGGCATGAGGGAAAGGCTGTGGGAGCTAGAGGCAGGGTGGGGGAGCTGTAAGGTGTGGGTGGGCCTACAAGAGGGGGAGCCGAGGCCTCGGGACCAGGGCTTACGCTTGGTTGCTTCCACTCTCGCAGGTGCTGGGGCTGGTGCGGGTGCCGCTGCACACGCTGTGGGACGGGTCGGGACTCCCCGAGTTCCTGCAGCAGCGCTTCGTGGGCTCTGCCCGGGACCAGCTCCTCGATGCTCTGCACCGCCTGAACCTGGTGCCTGGCCATGAGCTGGAGCGGGCACTAAGCCTGGCAAGACGGAGCCCTAACTCCCAGTGCCACCAGGAGGGGGACCTAGGCGGCAGGGGAACCTGAGTGTTGAGGGGGAGGGAAACTAGGTATCGGGGTCACGGGGGGGTGGGGTGGGGTGGAGGGTAACTAGGTGTCCAAGGAACCCAGGAGTCCTGGGAGGGATTGGGAACCCAGGCATCCCGACTCCGGGTGTGGACCCACGCAGACATCACAGAGTGGATTTAAGGGCTGCCAGATCTCAAGGAGGGTGCCCCTTTCAAGGCACAGGGGTGTGTTGCAATGGATTGTGGTCATCAAGGGGTTAAATAAAGGTGTCTGCAAAGCTGGACTTAGAGTGAGTTATTACTGGGGGGGGCACTCCGCACCAATCCGCAGCCGCGTGCCTATGGCGGCACGGTGCCCCTTACCCCCCTATGTTGGCAGGGCTGGGGCTCAGCACTGCGGGGGGTGGAGCACCTGGCCCGCCTGGCACAGAGGAGGAGGGCCTGCCTGGGAAGGGGCGCAGCCTTGCACAAAGCCACGCCCCTTCCAGCCTTGCGCGGGGCCAGGCGCGGAGGTAGCAGGCTGGGGACCCTCCTAGCCCTGGATCGGGCCCCGTGATGAGCACCCACGGGAAGCTGCGCAAGGCTGAATATGACGCGCAAGTCAAAGGTGGGCGTGCAGTCCCAGGCACCTGGATTCTTTGAGGCCGGGGGGAGCCTGAACGCCTGGGTTCCCGGAGTTGGGGGGGAGGCGGACGCCTGCGTTCTTTGGGACCAAGGAGCCCGGACGCCTGAGTTCTCTCCGGCTCTGCAGTGGAGGCTAGGGGTAAAACTAGAAGGTTTAGGAGCCCCGACTCCTGGGTACCCTAGGAGCGGAGTGGGGGCTGCAGGTCGGGGTGGCTCCCAGATGCCTGGGTTCTCTCTTCCCCTTTCGGGCAAGGGGGAGGGTGCAGATGTGGCTCTGGGGTTGGTCCAGATTCTAGAGTTGAGCCAGGATGCCTGGGTTCTCCCTCCCCATCCCCACCCCCACTTCCAGTGGGTGAGGACCCAGGTGTCCTTGAGGTGCAGAGCTCAGCCCATTATGGGGGAGGGAGAGCGGGGACCCACCCCCACCAGTTCCTCTCCAGGCTCTGCTTCCTCCCCAGCACTTGGTGCCCCTCCCCCTGGGGAATCCCCGCAGCCTTTGGAGCAGGCAGAGAACCCAGGTGTCCGGCCCCCCACAGACATTAACCCGATTTAAGAAACCGAAGAAACCCCTTTGTTTCCTCTCTGGAGGAAGAGCCCCAGGCCTGGGTCCTCTGGGTGAGGAGTGTGGGGGCAGCGGTTAAAGCAGGGGGGGCTGGGAGCCTGGATGCCTGGGTTTTTTTCTGCCCCCGCCCCAAAAGAGGAAGTGTGGGGGAAGGGCAGGAAGTGTGTGTGTGGGGGGGGGTGGCATTTCCTCACTGCTACCCTGGGAGCATAGCCAAGGTCCAGGCCCCTCCCCACTAAGCCCTGAGCTCCTGTGCCCTTTCTGCCCCCCCCTCTTGGGCTTCACTATATTTCTCTCCCAGATGCTTGGGTTCCCTCCCAGTTTAGGGGTTGTGACCTGCATGCCTGGTCCCATCCGAGGGCAGGTGGTTGCAGGCCTAAATGTCTGGGTCTTCTCCAGGGCAGGAGGGTTGGGTCCTTTTGCAGTTGAAGAGTCACAGGCTTGGACACCTGGGTCCTTTCACAGTGGCAGGGTGTGGGTGGGGTCACAGACTCAGTTGCCTGGGTTCTTTCTTGGGGGTTATGGGCGCAGATGCCTAGGTTCTTTCTCAATTTAGGGTTGTGGGCTCAGATGCTTGGGTTCTTTTCCAGCTGGAGGATCACAGGCCAGGACACCTAGGTTCTTCCTCAGTTGGAGATCCCAGAGCCAGATGCCTGGGTCCTTTCCCAGTTGAAAGGTTCTGCACTCAGACACCTGGGTTCTCTCCAGGGTTGGGGGGGGTCACAAGCCAGACACCTGGGTTCTCTTCCATTTTGCAGGGGCCCAGACCTAAACTCCTGTGTTCTTTCTTAGGGGGCCCTGGGCATCTGGGTCCCTTCTGAGTTGAGGGGTCCCAGACTCAGATACCTGGATCTTCTCAGGGGGGCGCTGGGTCATTTCCCAGTTGGAGGGTCATGGGTCTAGATACCTGGGTTTTTTCTCAGTTGGAAGTCCCAGACTTCAATGCCAGGGGTCTTTCTTAGGGGTCAAGGACGTGGATGTCTGGGTCCTTTCTTGGCAGTAATGGGCTTGGACACCAGGTTTCTTTCTGAGTTGGGAGGGTTGCAGGCCCAGATGCCTGGGTCCTTTTCCCAGCTGAGGGTGGTTCTGGATCCAGGCACCTTTCCCATCTGGGGGTCCCAGGCACCTGGGTTCTTTCGCAGTGTGGAGGGTCATGGACACATACGCCTGTGTTCTTTCTCAATTGGGGGTTATGGGCCCTAATGCCTGGGTCCTTTCCCAGTGGGGGGGGGCAGGCCCAGATGACTGGCTTCCCCCTGATTCTCCTCCCTTCTTCCCCCTTTCCCAGAACTACGTTCCCAGCTGGGTGAGCAACTGCGGGGGCTGGAGACTCAGGCAGAGGCGAAACAGCAGTTGCTGCAGGACCTGGGTGACTTCCTGCGGCGCAAGGGGGAGCTGGAGTTGGAATATGGGCGTGGACTGGAGCGAGCAGCTGAGCGCCTGGGAGCCCGGCTGCGGGAGCACCCTGCAATGCGGTGAGGGGGGCTGCAGATTAGATGTGAGGGGCACCTCACTAAGGGGTGGGGCTGTGGGTCAGGGGTGAGGGGCACCATAATGAAGTGGAGAGGCTGAAGGTTGGGAGTGAGGGGCACTGCTGTCCCCATAGGCGAGGGGACCAGGACCTGCCATCCGGGCTCCAGTGCTGCCAGGCTGTCCTGCTCCAGGCACGCCAGGCTGGGCGGGAGCATGGGGCCCTAGGTGAGGCCTGCGTGGGACCCCTCAACCTGGCCCTGGCACAGCTCAGCGATGATGTGGGGCGCCTAACCAAGAAGGTGAGTGCTGGGGGGGCGGGTCTGTGGGTCGGGAGTGAGGGGCACCGTTATGGAGGAGGGGCTGGGGGTTGAGACCAGAACGGCAGCAGGGCTGAAAGTGGTTAACCGCCTGAAGGGCCGGGTCCCTTCTGTGGCCCTGCCCCCTCCTGGTTATGCCCCGCCCCATGCAGGCCAAGGAGCTGCAGCAGCGCAGCCAGGAGGACCTGCTGGCAGCAGTGGCCGAGGTGCAGCCGGTGAGTGGCAGCAGGGCTTTGGCTTTGGGTCGGGGTTAGCGTTGCCCCGCCCCCTCATCTTGCAGGGGTACCAGGAATTCTTCGTGGAACTGGTAGGGGGTGTGGCTTGCAGTTACCCGCCCTCTCCCACACGCATAGAGCAGATGTACCAGCTGTTCTTCACTCCCGCCCTAACGGCGGGGCCTCGAACTGGGGGCGCGGCTCAGGGTTACCCCGCCCACTCACCAGCAGCTGCCCCTTGTTAAATCGCTAGTGGGCGGGGCTTGGCGTTACAGCACCCTTAGCCACTAGGTGTGCCCAAGGGGCGGGGCTTGGGGCGGGGAATAGCGTTACCGTTCCCTAGGCCCAGGTTGAGCGGCTGGGGGTAGGGTTCGCACCAGTGGGCGTAGCTCCTCTGACCCCGGCCCTGCCCCAGGCCCTGCGCACCTACCAGGGCTACCAGGCAGAGGCGCTGAGCGCTGAGGCGAAGCTGCGGGAGGCCGAGCGGCAGGAGGAGAAGCGCCGGGGTCGTCCCAACCCCTCCAGCGCCCCCCCGGGACCTCCAGCGGGGGTCGGCGCCAAAACTCCGCGGAGGGGCTCAATGACCAAGGGGGAGCGACTGGTGGAGAAGGTGAGGGGGCGGGGCTTGGGGCCAGTGGGACTTGCAAGGGGCAGGGCCTGATAGTGAGGAGCAGGGCTTGAGGGAGGGCTGGGTTTGTGGAGGGGGCGAGGCTTGGGCAGGGGATTGGGCTGTGGGGGTGGCTTGGTAGAGTTTGAATGGAGCCTGGGGCAGGGGTGGCTGAGGGGTGGGGCTTGAGGCCATTTGTCGTGGCCTGGCGGGGGCAGGGCGTGGGTAGTGTGGACTATCCGCTGTTTGCACAGCGCCTGGTACGGGCGCAGGAGGCACAGCTGAAGGCGGCCAAGGCGCGCAATGACTACCTGCTCCTGCTGGGGGCAGCCAATGCCCGTCTGCGTGTGCACTTCCTGCATGACCTCGACCATCTGCTTGATGTACGTGAGACCAAGGTGACCTGGGGGGCCCCACAGCCCCCTCTTCCAGTCCTGGAAAACCAGGAGAGGGACCCAGGTGTCTAGGAATGCCCCCTACGGCCCTCTCCCACCCCCAGGGAACCAGAAAAAGGACTTGGGCATCCAGGAGCCACTTTCCCCCACCCCAGCCCTGCTGAAACACCCCTAGCTGCAGAAGGCAGGAAACCCTATCCCTAGGAAACCAGGAGAGGGTCCCAGCCTCCCCCCATCCCAACCCCAAGGAAACAGAGAGGGATCCAGGTGTCTAGGAACCCACTCCACACTCCCGCCTGGGACACCCAAAACTTACCCACGCCCCAGGAAGTCAGGAGTGGGACTCAGGTGTCTGGTACTCTCCTTGTCTGCCCCAGTCCCAACCCTGGGAAACAGAAATGGACCCAAGTGTCCAGTAGCCCAGCTTTCTTCCCCTAGGCCCAGGAAACTGAGACACATCCAGGCATCTAGGAAATCCCCTGTGCTGAGGGTCAGATTGAGGTTCACCATGGGGCTGTATGGGGGTGCTGTAGGTGAGGAGTGAGGGGCCCAATAAGGAGAGCTATGGATCCAGAGTGAGGGGCATCATAGGGTTAAAGGCAGGACTTCAAGTATTAGGGGCACCAGTGAAGGAGCAGGGGGCTGCAGGTCAAGTGTGAGAGGCACTGTGGGTTGGGAGAGCTGCAGTTTGGGAATGAGGGGTGCTGGAGTGGTGGCTGTGGGTTTGGAGTAAGGGGCACCAGTAGGGGGGGTTGCGGGTGGGAATGAGAGGCACCAGTCCACTCTCACCTCTGCCTCCCTTGGCTCCCAGTGCTGTGACCTGGGCTTCCACACTGGCCTGGCCCGGACTCTCCAGCGCTACATGGGGGCTGAGCGTCGGGCCCGGGGTGGGCCACTGGGAAGGCTGGAGGGGCTGGATGGGGCCGTGCGAGGCCTTGACCCCTCCGGAGACAAAGCCAAGGTCATGGAGGCCAATCCCAGTGCCTACTGCCTACCCCCTTCCTTCGAGTACCAGCCCCACGAGGGTGATGAGGTGCGTGGGTCAGGGAATGGGGGAGGGGGTGTATGAGGTGTGCAGATATGAACGTGCAAGTGGCCATGTGTATGCTGAGGGGAGGCTTAGATGTGAGTGCACTAGGGGCGGAACGGGCTTGCCCAGGCTTGTTCAAAGGGGCCATGAGTGATTTGGGGGGAAGGAGGGGTGCATGTGCACTGACATGGGGGTCATGTGCACAAGCGGGATGTGTGCAAAAGACCATGGGTGTGCAGGTTGTGGGAGGGGCCCAGGTACATGCAGGCATATGCAAGGGGCTTGCGTACATCTGCATACAAGGGGCTGGGCCTGTGAAAGGGATGCGTGCTGGTATGTGTATGCACATGCGATCTGTGCTTCCATGTGCCAGGGGTTGCATATGGGAAGGTCGTGTGTGCAAAATGGCATGTGCATGTACAGGTGTGTGTGAGGGTGGGGGCATAGAGGAGTCCAGGATTGGGGGGGAGGGCATCCATGACTCTACCCCCCTCCCTACCCAATGACTCCACTCCCCCAGGTGGCCGAGGTGGTGGCCGAGGGATCCCTGCGCGCAGAACTGTCCCAGCGCCTCCAGCAGCTGCAGACCCGCCTTAGTGCTCTTGACCTGGAGAAAGAGGAGGTGGGGGGGGGGGGGGT